AGCTCGCTCGTGCGGCGCCGCCGGTGACTTTCCTGCTTCACGAAGCGGTTTCTCATTCAACGTCTGCTCCTTTTGCTCGCCACATTCCACTTCTCTCTCTTCACCTCAGCAAGAGAAAGAGAGCTTCAAGTCCTGACCTGCAGACACAAATATGCTTAAACCCAAACAAAAATGTTTCCATGGAAATTTAAGGATCTGCTATTGGAACATGCCCTCTCATTTCAGCCTTTTTTTTTTTTTTTTTAAACTGTTTTTCTACAAACTTGTTTTACATCCTACTTTTGAGGACGAAAGGAGCTGGCAGGTTCCTTCCCAGAGAACACCTCCCCAGCTCGCAGCACGCTTGGCTAGCAGCCGCCAGATGCTGGCAGCCCACCCTCACGCTCAGAAGGCTTTCATCGAGGAATGCTGCAGAGTCTTCAGGCATGATGCAGAGCCTCAAATAGGAGCCCTGATACAGCTCATCTTGTGACACCGTCTCAATAAACCTGCGAGCCAAGAGTTTCTGTACCTCCCGAAGTTAACCCAGGTCATTTTTGGCATTCCTCGAGGGCTCTGTGCGTGCACCCTTTGGGAAAGTGATCAGCAGATCCCGAGATAGAGCTGGAGCGCACGCTTGCCTGGGGAAGGATCTTCCCCGAGAGGAAAGCAAGCGGTGCTGCCCGCGGGCAGGGGGCAGGCAGGGGCAGCAGCGTGAGCTGCCCTCGCCCCTGAGGCCAGCGCTGCCGTGAGGGTGGCTGGAATCGCCCAACCCCCCCTTGCCGGAGAACGGCACGCCGAGCTGTCGTCACATGCACCGCGGGCAAGGCAAACGCTTTGGTCAGCCTGAGATCATGGAAGGTGACGTGCCGAGGACAGCGCGCTCTGTTTAACGGGATCTCACTTGGAACCCATGGACGGGGAGGAGGAGGAGGAGCTGAGCAGCACCCGGCGGCTCCTGCTGTGGGAGAAACTGCAAGAGCGGGCAGCAGCGCTGGGGCGGGGAGGGGCTGCAGGCAGGCAGCCCTACGCCCTGGTGGGTCCACCCAGCACTGGTCCTCACCCAGTGCCACACTGGCACTTGTACACGTTGGGAATTACCACGCTACAGCAACCACCAAATATTTAGATACACTCCAAGGCCTTCCAGGCAGAGTTCTTGCTCTCGGGAAGTTGCTCCGCATTTGCTCAAGAGTGACCTGCAGTCGGAAGGGAGCCCAGCTGGTTTCTGATGACAGCTGCTGACAGAAGCACGATGATGCCATTTACCTAAGAGGAGAAGTGATGACTCAGATCCCTGGGTTTTCCCTTTGCCATTCTTTCCAGAAGGTAACGGGGACCCTCAGTCACTTCAAAACCATCTGGATTAGAGGGAAGAAGAGAAGACATCAAGCATGCGTGCGCACTTGCCAGCTCAGGAGGATCTTTAGAAGCACCTGCCTAGGGAACTGCTGGTGCAAATTCACCTTCATCATCCCACTGACAGCACAACCAGCAGGGCTTCCCCCATTGTTATCGTAGCACCTTGAAACCACAAGGAACACAAAGTTAAAAAGCTGATTTGGAAAAGCGCCGGCCATGTTCCACACTCGCTACCAAGGGAGGCCACCTTCAAGAGAAGAAGGGGCAACGCAAGGGGCCGGAGAACCCGCCGGCAGGGCAGCCTTTCCGTCCCCACGCCCCAGCCCGCGGGCAGCACACTGCGCACACAGGGCAGCGCTTTCAGCAGAGGTGGAGACGGCGGCTCTGCGTGGCTGGGAAATGACGGATTATTCCGGTGAACTCCCGCACGCTAGCCTGCTGTTACCCACTACAAAAGCAAGCCAACTGGGAACCTTTCAGTAGGTGGCAGCAGAAATGCATTATCAACGCAGAGGATGCCTTTCGGGACACCCCTTCTTGGCAAATCACCCCTTTAGGCACATTGCTTCGGGTCAGATACTGTGCCCCAACCAGACTTACGCCAGCAGAGTCAGGCCAAACGCAGAGAACCTGGGTTGGGAAACTCACTCAGATTCTGAAAATCCCCACGTTTTGCTGTGGCGAAAGCGTTCCTCACCAAACCGCCTCTTGCAAAACGTGGCAAGTTCCCTAATTTGGTGCTTTGGTTTCTATGGCCCTGCAGAGCCGGCACGGCTCACCAGAACACCTCCCAGCAATAGGGCTTTTGCAAAATCACACCACACCTTCACCTCGTGCAGTCCCGGCCAAACAAGGCCACTTTAAAAGAAAAATGACTTCCATAAATTCCAAAGACTCAACAAATCAGCAACAAGAAGATGATGTAAGCCCCCAACTAAGCAGCTTTCCTCCCTACTTCAGACACGCTCGAGCTCGGCTGCCCCGCAGCCCGGGCAGGAGCAGAGCTACAGGGAGGTGAGAGGAGCGGGCGGCGGTGGGGCCGGGGGCGTGACGGCCTCCCCGCATACCTGGCCGGCAAGGTGTGGCTTTGCAAAGCTGACTCAGGGCTGGGTCAGGTCTCCTACACGCAGAAGCACGCTTTCCCAATCATCGTTTCCTGTTCTCCCAGGCGAGATGGAGCAGCCAGGGGCAGGATGGAGGTTTCTCGGGCACAGGCAGTCCCCCTCCCCAGAGCTGCTGGGCGTAGAGGACAGCGAGGAGGGACGGCAGGGGGCTGGTGACTAAGGCGAGGACAGCGGCACTGGTTTTGTGACTAACCATTACTCATGCAAGGAGGAATTTGGAGAGGGACCCGCATCCAGCTCGGCTCGTTGCTTTGGATATTTCTGCACC